AAAATAATTTCACAGGTTTTTTGCTGCAGTTATGTTTTACATTATTTATTATGTTTTTTATTATTATTATTAAAGTTGACCAAGCACACAAAAAACATCACTTAAAATCAACTAATATAATACTTAAATAAAATTAAAAAAAAACAAATATGAGTTTAAGCAAGAAAAGAAAAAAAAGGTAATTTGAATAACAAAAAATTTTCGAAAGTTTATGACTTTTATTGGCAAAATTCTTGAACTTTTACTGATTAATTATGAAAAAACATATACCGTGCGATCAAGAAATTTTTTTATTGTTGCAAGTTATTACAAAAATGCTGTACAAGACGAAAACGGTGAATGGTCATTTTCACTTTTAGTCAACTGTAAAATATTAATCGTCGCCTACTCTAATTTTTTTTTTGATCCACGATACAAAAACATTGGTAATATTATTAGACATAAAAAAATGTCAAATATCAAAAATAGATGTCAAAATTTTTTGACGGATAAAATTTTTAAAACATTCCGTGTTCCTGGTATCTTATTTTACGAATTTTTCTCTGGGGCACGATTAAGGAACACCCTGTATATCTTGGGGCTTCTTTATTGCCAATCTGTCATTTTTCACAAAATTAACGTAAATTTTTTACTGTTTAAGAATGCCACAACTGGTCAAATTATGAGGCCAGTAATTATGAAATTAAGTTGGCAACTTAAAATTACAAAGAGAAGACAACTTTGTCTCTGTTTCCACATTATTCAACATTGCCAACTTAATTTCAAAGTGACAGGCCACTTCGATTAGAAATTGTATTGTATTACAACTTCCTTATTTAATGTGTTATAAAAATAACGTATTACACTATTAACACACAAACCGTAAATTATTTTTACCAACGTAGAAGTCAATTGTTTGAGAAACAATTGTGCATTAAACTGAATAATGTAAATTTTATACCACAAGGGAATGAACTGCTCCAATTCGTGCACATCCTAGTAGAGTTATCACAGCTTCAAGGATCATAGGCATATAAACAGCAACCCTGTCGCCTTTTTTCACTCCTTTACTTCGTAAAACATTCGCAAATCTGCAAACTTCTTCCAATAGTTTTTTATATGTCAAGCGGCTGTAATCATCGGGGTGGTTTCCTTCCCTGGAATAACAAAATTATGAATTCATGAGAAAAAAAAAATAAAATTCGGAGTAACATTTTTTTTAAACAATTTTTATCGCAATATTCTTTTATTGAAAAAGACTTTTAAGTGTTGGTTTCTATTAGGAATGAAATTACCAAATGCTAAAGGCGTTATGTACAACCTGGATTGTTGAATAAACAGTGGATAAAGATGTTAAAATATGTTTAAATAAATAAATAATAATAAATAAATGTTAAAAAAAACACAAATAACACTATTTTTACTTAATTCAATTACTTTCCGACGTATTCTTGACAGAATTTTGCGAAATAATTGCGTTTTTTATTGAAAAATGTTTTAAAACGCTCGAAAAGAGCATAAATTATGTCGTTTTTATTTAGTCTGGTATATGCATTAATTTTGGTATGTTTTTAGCAAAAATTAAAGAAAAAACTTTGTTTTAGACTTAAAAACGCAACTAAATGTTTGAAAAAAGCAAAAATAACATCATTTTCGAATTAATTATGAGATTTTTCGGATTATTTTTGACGAAGTTTTGTGCCTTTGATTGAAAAATCTGCTAAAACGTTTGTAAAAGCAACCAGATGATTTTTCTTTCGGCTCAAAACATGCTTAAACTCTCCAAAGAAGCAAAAATAATTTTAGTTTCGTGATAGTTTATTCATTTTTTACCTCATTTTCGACGAAAATTTTCAAAACAATTGCGATTCTGACTAAAAAACGTCCTAAAACGGAAAAATAGTATTATTTTTGAACAAATTTTTTAGCACAATCCAAAAAAGTGAAAATAACACCATTTTTGAGTAAATTTAGCGATTTGTGACGAAATAATTTTGTAAATTTTTAATTGAAAAACGTGCTAAAACGCCCAAAAAATCATAAAAAAGGTCATTTTCAACCCAATTTGGTAATTTTCAATGTGTTTTAACAGAATCTTACAAAAAAACGTGATGTAAACAAGCAAAATTCATTATTTTTCACTTAATTTGGTGACTTTTCGGTATATTTTTGTCCAAATATTTTGACATAATTCCGTCTCTTATTGAAAAATATGGTGTTAATATGGAAAACCGTTTTCGAAAAGTCGTTGAACTAGCTTCAAAATTACACCCAGTAAACAAGAAAAAAAATCTTTTAAATGAGAATGTTAATTTTCGGGACAGCATAAAGTGGACTTTTTTATATTGTGTCGTTAGAATTTCATTTATAAATGTTTTGTTAAACTTGAAATATTTTTATAAAGCAACAGTTATCTCAAAGTTTATATTAGAAAATAAAGCTTGTTTTTTGATACATAACACTTTTATCAATTTTTTAATAATATAAACTAATGCATTACAGTAGATGAAGGGGTCATGTACATTTGATCGTTAAAAAAAATCTATAAAAAAAAACAAAAATCTAAGTTTTCTTATAACAAGGAAACAATATTCACATAGGCCTTTATAATCAAGTGATTTTTTTACCAAAAAAAATTGGAAAAAAGTACCAGCAAATTATATTAAAATGCTTATAACTCCAAATATATGACACCTTTATCCACTCACCCTTCAATTAAGTCTTACTAAAAATAAAATAATTATCTGAAAATTCTGGAAATGAAACTTTGTACATGAAACAAAAAATTGCAATTAAATTACTTTAAACATCTAATCAGATTTGTAATTAAAAAAATATCGACTTATTGTTGTACTTTGGTATTTTTTTAATCCAGTGGCGGAGATGCAAAAATTGCACAAAATCGTTATTTACTCGTGCTTAAAAAAATTCACCAGTGAAACAATTGGAATACAAAACGTGCTTTTGTGAAATTAAGTCAGTTATATTTATAACACATTTTTAAAAAGTTTGCAAACAATAATAAAACTATTTTGTATAGAGTTCAAAGTGTAAGATTTATTTTAATAACAATATAAAAGCTGTATAATGTAAATAAAATGCATGACACCTCACCTTTAATTTGCAAAAAGGAATAATTATTACTTGTCATAGTAAGTCATGACTCAGGTTATTTTTTACCGTAGACTAAGTCTGAGACAGCAAATTACGAGTATACTCCAATTTTAATTAAGCTTGAAATTATTCATGTTTTCGTAAACGTCATAATGATAAAAAAAAAGTTTGCGGTTTCAATATTTAAATAGAAACGAATAATTTTTGAAAAAATTAAGGAAAAGCACAAAATTCGAGAAACCTTGCTGTCAAAACCAAGCAAACTTTCCAGCCAATTACATGAAATAATGTTGATAAAAAATTAAACTTACATTTAAATATTTAAACATTCAAGGTTAAACAATAATTGTTACACGCAAGAATAACTGAAAAGAATTGTATAACAATAACAAACACAAATTCGGGTAAAAGTGTCATTACCATAAATTTTAATGCAATTTTGTAAATGGGTTCCTTATGTCTAGGAAATACCGATCGAGCGTATGACGTTGGTAGTTTTTTCACATGGAAATTTTGAATCTATTCGATTTAAAAATCTTTCCACAAGAAAATATTAATTTATGAAACATTTTTACGTTTATTTAGCTGGATGACATTTGACTTGAGATTTTTTTTAATGTTTGTGACAAAAAATCTATTGTGGTAAATAAAGTTTGACGTTTGAAAGTCAAGGTTGCCGAAGTAAAATTTTAAATTTGACACCAACTTGAGTAAAAAAAATACAATCATTTACAGTCACCCAGTAGTACAAACTGCGTACAACATATTGAATACAAAAAAACCAAACACACACATGTAGCCTTGAATAAACATAATTAGAATTTGTTATATTGTGTCTCTATACACAAAACATCTTCATTTCATGTTTCATTTTTTTAATTTCGAGACCTCGAAATTTTGAAGTTTTTCATAAAACTTAGGCAAATTCTCCTATTTACAAAGGAAAACCTAGTAGTACTGAGATTGAATAATAAATAAACATTATTTATTTATTTAAATTTAATAAATTAAAACAAAAACCCAAAAAAAATGGAAATAAATGTATCAGTTTTTTTTTTCGATTTTTCTTAAAATTCTTGTTTATTCGTAAACATAGATTGATTTCTAATAATAAGGCCCTTTAAGATTCTTTTATTATAAAAAGAAAAAGTAAATATTCTACATTTTATCATTTTTCCTATCATTGAAACACGGTGGATTTTTTTAAAATGAAAACATTAATTTTCCAAAATAGTTTATTCTTTTTTCTGCAAAACTGTAACTCAAGGAATAACACTTTTTTAATAAACAATTTTTAAATTTATTACTATTAAAAAGAAGTTTCCTCCCAATAGGAAATAAAGTGACGCTTCATTTCCTCGATTTTGACTAATAATCTGGTACTTTATTCCCTTGGGAATAAAATAAATGAAATATCGAGATTTACTCTTAAAAACTGGAYCTATAAAATGGAATTGAATGACGTGAATCTTGTGAGGTTTTTTGACATAAACAAACTCCTTGATCCKGATTTTTACCCTTTGACATTATTCGACAAATTTATCATTAATTTAGTAAAATTTTGTATGCAACTTTGAAATAAACATTGTTAATCTCTCGAATGAAAATTCCCACATTCTCGAGATTAAAATTCTTATTTATTCCCTTGATTCATAAATAACTATTATTGAAGATAATTAATAATAATTTTGGTTATTTAAATAAAATATTTTTAGGTTTAAAAAAATAATATTTTTCTAGTCATACTGGGTGTCACAGCGTGTTGAAAAAGTCCATTAGTGACCTTTAAATGGTAAGATTTAAAAAAAATACCAAAAATATACCAAATTAAGTATAAAATAATGAATTTTGCTTGTTTACATCACGTTTTTTTGTAAGATTCTGTTAAAATATATTGAAAAATTACCAAATTGGGTTGAAAATGAGATTTTTTATGATTTTTAGGCGTTTTAGCACGTTTTTCAATAAAAAATTTACAAAATTATTTCGTCACAAATCGCTAAATTTACTCATAAATGGTGTTATTTTTACTTTTTTAGATTGTCTAAAATGGTACCATTTTTCAGTCTTAGGACGTTTTTTAGTCAGAATCGCAATTTTCGTCGAAAATGAGGTAAAAATGAATATCTATCACGAAACTAAAATTATTTTTGCTTCTTTGGAGAGTTTAAGCATGTTTTTAAGCCGAAAAAAATCATCTGGTTGCTTTTCCAAACGTTTTAGCAAATTTTTCAATAAAAAGCGCAAAACTTCGTCAAAAGTAAGCCGAAAAATCACATAATTAATTCGAAAATGATGTTGTTTTTGCTTTTTTCAAACATTTAGTTGCGTTTTTAAGTCTAAAACAAAGTTTTTTTCTTTAATTCTTGCTAAAAAACATACCAAAAAATTAATACATATACCAGACTAAATAAAAAACGACATAATTTATGCTCTTTTCGAGCGTTTTAAAACATTTTTCAATAAAAAACGCAATTATTTCACAAAATTTTGTCAAGAATACGTCGGAAAGTAATTGAATTAAGTAAAAATAGTGTTATTTGTGCTTTTTTTAACATTTATTTATTATTATTTATTTATTTAAACATATTTTAACCCCTTTATCCACTGTTTATTCAACAATCCAAGTTGTACATAACGCCTTTAGCATTTGGTAATTTCATTCCTAATAGAAACCAACACTTAAAAGTCTTTTTCAATAAAAGAATATTGTGAAAAAAATTGTTTCAAAAGAAAATATCAGTTTTCAAAAAAATTTTACATAACACCTTTATCGACTCACTCCTTCAATTAATATTGAATGTTAAATATCTTTTCATTTATCAATTCAAGACATTAAAAGTTTATTTTTTAGATAGACAATTTATCAATCTATTAGATGCAAAAGAAAAAATAGGGTGTTCCATTAAATTTTTTTAAGTTATTTAACTTTTAACAAACTTCTTAATTTATTAATTTTTACAAATGCAAAACACTAAAAAATTGCTACAGCTTTAAATTCTGTACTTTCTTCTTTGCAGAAGTAAGAAAAAATTTGTTCTATCTGTCTTAGTTTTTGTGTAATAAATTTTAAAAAAGTGCATGTTTTCGTCAAAAAAACGACAAATGCAAAGAAACAAACGGTGTTTCATTTAAAAAAAAACACAAGTTTGTATCGTAACTTTTTTTGGGACATGCTGTATAGTTGAAAATAATTTTAAGTGATGATGGGAGACCCTGTATTTTTTAGTCAGTTATTGACTTATTAGAGACCCCGAGAATTTTTAATTCTCGAAAAGATCAATGTTTTGAAAAATCAGAAGCTGCACATGCCTGATGTAATGTGTACACATATGATAAAATTAGTGTAAAGATAATAATAAAATTGTTCAATTAAAATGTGCGCACATGTGTTCCACTCCCGACCTTCCTTACGCCAGCGACGAAATCGATATTCCATTCCCGGAATGTGAATTTTTAACCCGCCTTTGCCTTGACTTATATTAAATAATTACCATTTACTTACCAATAAAACGCAACTTTGTCCCCATAACCATTTTTAACATTTCGGTCGAGCAAATTATAGGCGATATTCGTGGTCGCTCCGTCCAGCCATTTGGTATAAATGGGCCCTTTTCTTATATCAAAATTATACCGGAAAAACGTGTTAATGTCTATCGGCGTTTCCCAGTAAAATTGTTTCGCGATTTCACCCCAAAACTCCTCAGGATTGTCTATTGATTTCTGGTACATTTCCTGGTATTGTGCGAAGGACGAAACGTAGGCATTTTTCGCTATTGCAGAATTAGGGAGGTAAACGGACTTTTCCGACGGCATTTTTGCACTTTTCGATGATTTGAACCACCTTTCGAAAACAAAACTTGAACGCGACTGAGTGGCGGACTCGCAGCCGCTTTAAAAGGTGAGTATTTACGGTTGCGCACTCCCCTTGAATTGTCTTCATTGAACGATAACGCAATTTTGGATCTGGTGATGTTCAATCACTCGCACACGAGATGGGAATGGGCAAAGTGTGACAACTAGCGAAAAAATAAATATGTGATTCGTGATATCTGTTTTGATTACCTTAGAAACCCATTTTTTTTATTTTCATCAAATTATTCCATGAACTGTACCCCCGATTATTTCAATGACCTTTCAGAATTTTAAACGATGTTATTAACGTTTAAAAGACTCAAAATTAATAATTTTGGTCAAATTTATGTCAATCAAGTGGAGCAGTTGGCCAAAACGGTATAATCACTTATGCAAGATTTGTCAAATTATTCGGATTTGTTAACAATAGAGTGTGTCAACTGATAAGAGATTTGAGTGAGTCTATTATGAATGAAGAGAAACGGAAACGTGAAGCAAAAATATCAAAAGTGCTGTCTCATTGAACTAGGATTATTAATGAAATTTTACTGAAACGTGAGGTGATTAGTAATTTTTTCTATATACAGGGTGTGTCAGAACTATCTGTCAAAAAATTATGACATGATCTTGTATAGAGCGTTTCAAAATGATTGACGGTAGGTTATAGAAATTCAAATTTAAGGTGGCAACATTGCTACTTTTTTATTGTTTATCTTTGTACGATTGCAGCCACTGTTCTCTGTTCTAAGTTTCTTCTACAGGATGCGCCAGAACTCGCGCCCCAGAGAAAAATGCCAAATAAAGTAAGATACCAGGAACATGGAAAAAATGTTAAAAAAATTTTATCTATAAAAATTTCGAAGTTATGAGGCTTTAAAGTTTGCACTTTGACTCTATTTATTTCTGTTGGAAAAATAATTTTCCAAGTTTTTTTGCTATAGGCTATTAAAAGAGGAAACAAGGTAGCTGTATCCTAAATTGTAACTCTGTTCAATGTTATTTGAGGCTTTTATTGCCAAAATTTTTGTCCCTTTACTAAATAATTGTAAAAAAACATATACAAGATCATCAGTATCATTAAATAGATATAAAAAAATGTCAAATGTCAAAAACTAAATGTCAAAATTTTTTGACAGATAAAATTTTTTAAACATTTTTTTCATGTTCCTGGTATATTACCTTACTTGAAAATTTTCTCTGGGGCGCGAGTTCTGGCGCACCTGTATATTCACCAAAACCATGATCAAAACATGCAATTTCTTTTGGACAAAAATAGGTTATGTTATTTTTTCTCACAGAATTCAACTGAAATGTCATTTTTTGAAGTATCGTGATCTAAAGATTGTTCATATTAGTAAAATTTTGAAAATAAAATTAAAGCCAACGCCTACCAAGATGTCAATCATTTTGAAACGTTCTATACATATATGTTTTTTGTAATTATTTAGTAAAGGTACAAAAATTTTGCCAATAAGTCACAAATAATATTAAATCTTCTAATAGCCTATAGATAGAATTTTTTTAAATCGACGGATGTGATACACCTAATATGATAATAAATAATCTTATATAAATTAAGAAAACTCGTGTCCTCTTTATCATATCTGCGTCAAGTGTGCAAAGTTCGCTATTGTACTCAAAGCTTTCTAAAATTATGTGCAAATATTTGACTAGAAAAAGTGAAGAAATTGAAGTAACTTGTTGCCTAGTGTTTATTTTTTGTTGTGCACGAGAGGGAAGAAAATAGAAATAAAAAGAGAGCCTTGCTTAATTCAAAAATGTCTAAAAACATTTCTAGCCTTAAAACAGCCTTTTAACCTTCTAAATAAAAACAAAATTTTGGCTATCGTCTAAGAGAGGACGCTGCACAATCGACAATAGTATACAGGGTGGTCCAAAAGTCTCGAAACGGTTTTATTCTGGCGAAACTATCAATTTTTTTGGCAAATAAATTTATAGGTGTGCAATGGCTATAAAAATGCTATTCAAAAAAAAATTGAATATTAATTAATTGTTTATACTTACGAGATAAACACAGTAACTTTTTTTTTTAATAGAAACCTACCACAAGTTTTTTTTTTTAGACAACGAGCTTGTTACAAGAATTGTTGCTGTGCAAACCTCACACTTTTTTGTTAAAAAAATGTTTGACTTACAAAAATTAAAGATTTTTTGTGAGTAAACTACCAGTTTTTTTAGAAATAAATTAATAAATGTTCAAAGGCCGTAAAGGAAATCAAAAATCAAAACGGTTTTACTAAGTTGTGACACTTGGTTGTCACTAGATTTAAAATTTTGAAATTTTATTGGAATAATTTAATAAATTAAATGCAAATACACCAAATTTCAGTTGAAAATTAGAACAAAATATATTTGGCAGTGTTTTTTTAAAAGCTATAAATTTAAAATATTTTTCCCAAATTTACCATTTTTAAGTTGAAAATTGCATAACCTCAAGAACCAATCTGAATTTAGTATTTAATATGATTACCATAGCAACACAAAATTTTCCGGAAATTTTTTGACATAAGAACTAACCTTAAATTTATTAGTAAAACTTCATTTTCAACATCAAAAACTAAGACATAATTGAACTCATTGATGTTATGCAATTTTTTTTACCAAGTACCACTCATGTGTTGATTGAATCCTAGAAATTTCCGGAAACAAATCATATTTAAGTGACAATATTTAAAAAAAATCTCTAAATGATAGGTTAGAAAACATCATGAGTTGTTAGTAAAATCATTGATAAACATTTTTTTATTTTTTTAGTTTTTTTGAGTAGTTTTATGATGCTGTACTAATGATTTATTATCTTTTAAAAGAAAAAGAACCCAATAAATTATTGATTATATAAAAATTCATTCAGTCAATATAAAAGCTATTTTTTGGTATTAGTATATTATGTTATTAGAAGTAAAAGTGATGTTTAATTAATCTGTCCTATTTGTATTAGCAGTTAAAAACGGGAATGACACTAAAAATATAGTTTTTAATATACTAAAATATTAATTATTTGTCCTACAAAAATACTAAAAAATTGGCCTAAAAACATCACTCTGTCTTATAATTAAGACACCTTAGCTTGGTTAAAAAACCGCTTAAAATTTGATTTTAAATATTGCTTATTTCTCATTATTTTACCGAGGTTACAACCAATTAAAAAAAGCTTTTGTTTACTCACTGATTTTAAATTTGGTATTGTAATTAGAAAAATTTCAAATGAATGCACATGTGGCTATTACACAATACCTAATTACGTTTTTTACGAAAAAAAACCATATGGAATCACCTAAATATCGTTACGACGCAATTTGTACAATATTTTCAAATGTAATGACATACTTTCCTAAAAATAAGACACTTTTTATGTAGATTACCTACTTTTGTTAGAAGATAAATAAGAAAACTTATGTAATAATTCGAACTCAATTTTAATGTGATAACCTATGATAGTGTTTCATGTAAACAGAAACGAAAGGACAAAAAGACGTCCTTTTATCATTGCAAGTACCACAAAAATCACACAAACACAAATTTAGTAATCTTTAATAAAATCATTTTTACACTAATTAACTAATGATCTTGAGTCTTAAGATATTCATTATATTGTGCTTCAGTCATCAAACTTTTAAGTTCCCCTGTATCAGACAATTCAATTTTAAAGAGCCACCCTGTAAGTAAAAATTAAGTACAATTTTAAGCACAAACACCATACCAACCCTTATCATAACACGAGGAATTTATCAGCGAGGGCGTCTCCTCAACACTTGCATTTTTTTCTACAACTTTTCCTGAAATGGGACTATAAACCTCACTTGCGGCTTTGACACTTTCAAGTGCCCCACATTCGTCTTAAAAAAATATTAAAAATTTATTGAAACTGAAAAAAGTAGATACCTTTTTGTTTTAGCACAGTGTCGACATCTGGCAGTTGTGCGTATACTACGTCACCCAGCGCCTCCTATGATAAAAATAGAAATTAAATAGGACCACCACATGGTAGTTTTACCTGGGCATATTGTGATATTCCCACTTTTCCGGTTTTACCATCGACTTCCACCCATTCATGTTTGTCTGTATATAACCGTTCTAATAATATAAAAATTAGTGGTGTTTTAGAAAGTCAATTGGGGTCATACCTGCCCAAATCGATGGCGTTGTGAATATTGACCTATTAATGATGTGTTTTCGACATTGATTAAAAATTAATTGTCTTGTCGAAGTATTGTTGACACATTTGACAAATCTGTGGATGACCATATTGGAGAAGGCTAGAAAAGACGATTAAAGATTTCAGAATGATTACATGTCGTTAATACTACCACAGCCAGACTGACAAGACTGTCATCGGTTTGGTTTGTTTACTTGCTAATTTGAGGTCTGGGTCAAACACTGATAAAATTGATTTCATTGTCATGTTTTGAAAAATTCGACCACTAACGAAGAAAATTATCTTAATTGGTTCCGTTTGCGTAGTTTTAGATGATTTCTTGGCATTTCATCAAAACGTGATCAAAATTTTGAAAATAAATTAATGCTTGCATTATTGCTATTGTTCTGTTTAGCTATTATTGACCAGTTATCAGTTTATCGCATGTCCAGTTGGGCAGCTTACACAACATACTGATAAGGGTTTTCGTAATTGATAACATCGATGAAATAACATATTTTATAATTATGTTGTTCAGATTCTTCACGTGATTTTTTTTCATGTAGTGATTCAACAGATTGAAATGGAAACTACTAGAGAATTGACATTATGTGTCAATTTTCACGTTTTTAGGTATTATTAGTTAACCGTGAAATTTTTATATTAAAAAATTACAAAATTTTTGGTCATTGGTAACCGGAAGTAACCGAAAAAGTGTACCATCTCTATACAGAGAATTTCAGAATTTGTCCTAGAGAAAAAATGCCAAATAAAATAAGATACCAGAAATATGGAAAAAATGTTTTCAAAAATTCTTTCTATAAGAATTTCGAAATTATGGGGGTTTAAATTTACACTTTTACCCCATTTTTTTTACATGTTTTTTTGCTACAGGCTATTCGAAAAGGAAATAAAGAAGTTGTATCCTCAGTTGTATCAAAACGTAAATGTCAAAATTTTTTGACAGAATTTTTTAAGCACCTGTATTTTTTTAGTGGTAATAAAAGTAGTTTGTGTCTTTTTAGTGTATTATTTTAAGTACAAATTTGTAAATGCATTTTTTTTTATTTTGCAACTAAAACCATCAAGCTTATTTTGATACCAAAACCGATTCTTTAATGAGCCATTTCAACACCAATTCGGGTGCTGAAATAGACTAGTTCAATTTACTTTCTAGATGTTGGTAATGGTGATTTTCAGAGGCGTTTTTCAGGTGGTGTGCATGAAAAATTTGTAGTAGAACAATACTTGAGACTTGACACTTCGAAAATCTAATTTTTAAAACTTTGTGACATTTATTACCAGCCATAATCTTATTAGAGCAAAAGTTCCTGAATTTTGAAAAATTAACTTTAAAAAAAGTACGCAAAATAGAAGAAATAGTATAAAAAATTTGTTACATAAGTCAATTGAAAGAACTCGTTTTTTTTTTTTTATAAAACTTGTTCTTTGCTGCTCGTTTTTTAAACTTGAACTCTCTAGAGGGCAAGTTCTGACACACTCTGTATTTAATTTAACGTCATTTATGGCTTTTATTGACACCTTTTGTACGTTTTGTAGTCAGTTCAAAAAATGTCAATGTAAACCACGCTTTATTGTCATTTATGATTGACATTTGAAATGAAAATTTCGAAGTTTTAGTTGAAATTTATTTTTGGCGTCAATTTTCCGAAACACTAATGCCAGCAATAAGTATTTTTATAGCAGGTGAATAAAAAAATGGAACCAAACGTTTTTTGCTTAAACAATTTATTTTTTGCAAAAACTAGTTGATGAATGGCAAAATACTATAAAAATGTAATGTTTTATCAAGAATAAATTTTTTCAAAATTTTCTTTTGTTTTTGAGTTCTCCAAAATTTTTAATTTTTTTTAAATAGCAACCCACTAAAAAAACAAACTATATTTAATTTTTTCAATTTTTTTTTACATAAATTGCAAATTTGACAAAAAAAAATCGCATAACTCAAAAACAAAACAAAATGTAGTTTTCAAAATAAAATCACATTTTTTATATTACTTTAATTATATTAATTATTATTTTCTGGGGGCAAATGATTTAAAAAAAAAACTGCTTGGTTCCATACTTTATATTCAACCTGTATAAGTTCAATAGATTATTTTGATTTGTTGTCATTTTTTCTCTACCTATCAGGATAAAAATTACAAAAACCGAAAGTGAGGTTAGTTGCCTAAGGCCCGTTGTACATTTTTATGTCAATCGAATGATAAGTCGACCAAAAACACTAATAATAGAATTATGAAACACCCTGTATGTCCAATTTGACACATTTTGACAATGATGAAAAATTGACAAACCATTTATCCTCGTTTTCATATTAATTGCATCGAAGTAGCCGTTGAAAGAGATCATTTTAAGGTGGCAATCATGCAAAAATCAAACAATCCTAACCTCAATCATTCCTAAAAAAATATTTTTTCAAATAAATGTGTACTCCAGGTGGCAAAACACAATTAAAATAGCAAACATACAGATTTTTGTCATTATTGATGTGATCTCAATGACATTAATTGAATTTATTTGTGTGAATCGACCTTTAAATTAAAGATGCATTTAGACTTTCACAAACTACTTTTCTCCTTTAATCAATAAAATCAAGTGACAATGACAATCACTAAACAATCAGAACCAGATTTATTAACTGTTTTTTTTTTGAGGTTAAAACGAGAAAATGCAAATTAAAACCAATTTTACAACTCATTTTTTCATTTACAAAATTCAGTTCAGTTGTAAAACATTGTGTCCTTGAAGTTTATGATAAATAAAAAAATCATTACATAATCTACGTAATTTGATAAATTTGTGGCGCAGTCGTAAACTCACCTCAATTTTCCTAACCTATAAGAGCGAAAGACACAAAATCAAGATACCTACCGGCGTCACAACCGACTAGATTGATTTCTAAAACTGTCACTAGTGTCACTATTATCACAGCGTTGTCACTATTTCCTTGTGGTGTTGCCAGTGGTTTATGTTTTTCGTTCGTGGTGCTCTTTCCAGATACAATAATTACTTAATCCCTAAACCAAACAAATTCCAAATCAGGATGACATCAAATATTACCACTTTCTACGACGCCGCCTTAAAATACACGAAAACTGCCGGCGAGGTATCTCTTTTAATCTATTATCATTTAAAACTGATCAAATAATTGCAGCTAATCCTTGAAAAAATCTCTCACAGTAAAAACATTGAATTGAAATCGTCTGAAATCGATTTGGTCACTGAAACGGACCAACAAGTGGAAAAATTACTCATTCAAAATTTGAGTAAAGATTTTCCCGATCACAAATTCATTGGTGAGGAATCGGTCGCTGGTGGTAGTCAATGTAATTTAACAGATGCTCCAACGTGGATAATCGACCCCATTGATGGGACTATGAATTTTGTCCATACTTTTCCCCACTCTTGTATTTCAATCGCTTTATTTATTGAGAAAAAACCACAAGTGGCCATTATTTACAACCCAATGCTTAAACAATTGTTTACTGCCCTAAAAGGACAAGGGGCTTACTTGAATGGGAAAAAAATTCAAGTTTCCAAAGAAAGTGATTTCAAAAAGGCTTTAATCATGATGGAGTTCGGGACTAGCAGAGACCCAGAAAAAATGAAAGTGGTCTTGGCCAATCAGAACGTACTAATAAATCAAGTACACGGGTGAGCATTGATAAAGATAAGTGATAACAATAGTTTTAATATTTAAACAAGTTTGAGCCAGATTAAGGAAAAAAGTACCAGAGATAGTAAATTTCCATCATATAGTTGGCAACCGTGACTTTCAAATTCAAACGTCAAACTTTTATAGCCAATTGTCATTCATTCGCGACGGGTGACTCCTGAATTAGCCGTCAAGTGAAACATTCTGATATAACAAATTAAATTATAAAGCTTACCAATAATCAGTGTTACCAATAGATTTTTTCATCTGGCTATTTCAAAAAAACATTTAAATTTCAATCGTTTCAAATCTGGCAACATCGCACTACAAATTAATATTTAAACAAATTTGAGCCAGATTAACTATTTAAGAGATAATAAATTTCCATCATATAGTTGACAACAATGACTTTCAAATTCAAACGTCAAACTTTTATTGCCAATTGTCATTCATTCGCGACGGGTGACTCCTGATTTAGCCGTCACCTGAAACATTCTGATATAACAAATTACCAGTGTTGCCAATAGATTTTTTCATCTGGCTATCCAAGGACTAAATGACAAATTTAAAATAAAATAAAAACATAGAACGTACAAAATTGAAATTTTCCTACGACCATATACGAAACTAATTGGCAAAATCGCACGATTTGTTTTCGCACTGTGTGTTAGAAATCTAACACACAATTCACACTAGAATGTTTTGTATTTTTTCATTTAACGTATTTTTTTTTGTATCCATTATAAAAAATAAATCGTTATTCAACGAATTTTTTGTATCCATTATAAAAAATAAATCGTTATGAAAAAAAAATATGTTCGTAAGAAAAAAAAAATTATGGTCGTAGGAAAAATAGTGTACAAAACTTGCAGGAAAGTGTCTAAAGGACTCGCGGTATTGCGGTTATTTATCACTTTCCGTGCTCGTTATGTAATATACTAATATTGATTAAAATTTAAGGTATAAAGTATTAAAATGAGTGCAAATTTACTTTAGACTTTTTACGTATTAAAGAAACATCGCCAAGAAGACTTTAATTTTTTTAGAATAAATGGTTTTGTTTTGTTTCGGAAATTTTAGTTGTGTGTTGTGTATTTTCGAGTGACTAATAGATATTGGCTTTTTATTTAGATTTACGCTACGTATACTCTATTTTTTGATATTAGCACTCACGTTGGTCACTTTCCGTGCTCTCTATGTAATGTATTATTAAAAGCCCCAAGGTTGTCAGATTGTGGCATTTATAATGTTTTTTCCTATTTCCAATGAGGAATTTTTGGTATTTTTGAAATTACAAAGAAAGTGTATTGTAATTGACTTTTTATAGAGAAATGTCAATAAATCAGGATAATTCAGTGTTGCCAATCGAATTTTTTGTCGTCACGATTTCAGTTATTTTTCTCACACTATTTTTTTTAAACAAAGAAATAAAATGTGATGTATTCGAATTTTTGATTTTGATTTCTAGTTTACGGGCGTTGGGGTCTGCGGCCCTGGACATGGCAATGGTGGCACTGGGGGCGGCAGAGGCCTATTTTGAATTTGGAATTCACATTTGGGATATTGCGGCGGGAGAATTGATTATTACAGAAGCTGGTGGAGTTGTCATGGATCCTTCTGGGGGCCCCATTGACAGATTTTCACGAAGAGTTTTAGCAGCAAATTGTCGAGAAATTGCAGAAGAATTGTCTAAAAAGTTGGTTCAGTACCAGCCAACACCTCGTGATTAAAAATAATGCCAAATTTACTAGTTGTGCGTTAAAAAAATGTATTTCAAAATTATTGTTGTTTTTTTTTACTTTCCTTGTCCTATAAGGACACCAAAAAAGAGCCAAAAACTTCAAATTTGGTATGTAGCAAGGGAACGTAGCACGAAACGATTGGTAAAAATCGGTCGCACACTAGATTTTTTTTTAAGTTTATAAAATGCTGTAAGACTGCTACTTACCTGTCGCAACTGCTCCTTTCTCTAACCATTTTTAACTATAATTTAAGAAAAATATGTTAGTATAAAAACTATAAATGATGGAGTTTAACCTTAACCTTTAAGGCGATTCTGGCATACCGTTAAACCCTTCTCTGGATTTCACTTAGTTCCAGTTCTTCCGATTTTGCTGAAAATAAAAAATGTAACACTAAGTTTGGGTTTTAAAAATGTATATTAATTTTTAATATTCAGCAATTGTAAAATACATTCTGATTTTGAACAAACCTTAAATTACACCATGACCTCCTACATCCAAACATTCATTTCGCCGCACTTCTGTAACAAAAACAGTCGTGTAACAACGAGAAATAATTGTGTGTGACATGCACAAAAATCACAAACTTTTATTAATATTTTATTTACTCCACAATATGAATTTCCGTCTACAACATTGTTAATCTACAATTTTAATAAAATATAAGTCTAGTGTACAGACTTTTAAAAAACTCAAAGAAATATAACAAAATTAAAATTATTCGCGGTTGTCCTGTTGCTTTTTTTACCTCACTAGACCAACCCTCAAATCTTGTCCTGAATAAACGGATGAGTCAGAGCGTTATTCAAGCTGATCCTTTTGGCAGGATCGATGGTCAACGCCTTCTCTAACATGTCTTTGAGTTGAGTCACTTTTCGCAACTGGTCGGGGGGCAAAGCCTGCCCGGCCACCAGCTCGGCTTGGAGGTCCCGAGTCACTTTCACAACGGACATCACCACAACTTTTTCCTAAAAAAGTGATAAATGATCAGCATTTAACTAATTTTTGCACAGTAAAAATAATAAACGCTCACTAGCTTTAATCAAAATTAGTAAAACAACACAAAATTTAAAGAATTTTCAGTCTTGTTTACATAACAATGTATGGCCCCTGCGCAAGAATGGTGCTTATTATTGGTACTTATTTTTATATTACTGAATATTTGGAGGGTGGTATATGTATTAGCAAGGGCCCCTGCGCAAGAATGATTTTAGCAAAGGCTGGAAACTGCGCACAAATGGTAATCAATTTTGTTTTTGAACACTTTGCGATATTCCGATTTTGCCCGGAAACATTTTGTTTGTAAATGTGTGAATATTAAATTAATTAATTTTGCTAGACATTAATTCATTGTCTTTACTGTGCATTTATTATTTTACTGCGCATTTATTATTTTTTCAATGCATTTATTATTTTTACTGTGCATTTATTATTTTACTTTGAATTTATTAATTTTCCTGTGCATTTATTATTTTTATTGTGCACTTATTATTTTTACTGTGCATTTATTTTTTTACTGGGCATTTATTATTTTTACTGTACATTTATTAGTTTTTTTACTGTGCATTTATTATTTCTACTGGCCATTTATTATTTTTACTGTGGATTTGTTATTTTTACTGTGAATTTATTTTTTTACTGGGCATTTATTATTTTTACTGTACATTTATTATTTTACTGTGCATTTATTATTTCTACTGGGCATTTATTACTTTTACTGTGCATTTACTAGTTTACTGTGCATTTATTTTATTTACTTATCAAAAATAATTTACTTTAGTTTTACTAGACATTCATTCGTTTCCTTTACTGTGCATTTATTATTTTTACTGTGCATTTATTATTTTACTGTGCATTTATTAGTTTATTGTGCATTTATTATGTTTACTTATCAAAAATACTTGACTTTAGTTTTACTAGACATTCATTCGTTTCCTTTACTGGTCATTTCTTATTTTTACTGTGCATTTATTATTTTACTGTGCATTTATTATTTTTTACTGTGAATTTATTATTTTACTGTGCTTTTATTATTTCTACTGGGCAACTCTAGAAAAAGGCAAAAGTGACATTATGTTCAGCCTAATTTTGTGTTTTTTAGGCTTGTTTTGAACAAAATTTGCGAAATAATTGCGTTTTTTGCTCGAGAAATGCAAAAATAATATAATTTTCGACTTAATTTGTTGATTTTTTGGTTTGTTTTCGACTAAATTTTGTGGTTTTTCTGCTTATTTTTGTCTTAATTTTGATCAAAGACCACTTAAATTCAGTAAAACTAGGAAAATAACATCAATATCAATTCTTTTTGTGATTTTTAGGCGTGTTTAGACAAGATTTTACAAAATAAATGAGCCTCTGGTTCAAAAACGAAGTAAGTCGAGTGAAACAAACAAAAAAAACGAACCAATGTTGATTTAATTTTGTAATTTCTCTAGCTTGCTTAAACGAAATTTTTCGAAATTGTTTTGTTTTTATGTCAAAAACGTGCTTAAATGTTTGAATAAGGCAAAAATAACGACATTTTTGGCCTATTTTGTTGTTTGTTTTTGAACGCTTTGCGATTTACTATTTTTTATTTGCATTTATTATTATTGTTACTGGGCATTTATTATTTTTTTACTGTGCATTTATTATTGTTACTGGGCATTTATAATTTTTTTTACTGCCCATTTATTATTTTACTGTACATTTATTATTTTTTACTGTGCATTTATTTTCTACTGGGCATTTATTATTTTTACTGTACATTTATTAGTTTTTTTACTGTGCTTTTATTATTTCTACTGGGCATTTATTTTTTTTTACTGTGCCTTTATTACTTTACTGTGCATTTATAATTTTTTCTATGCACTTATTATTTTTACTGTGGATTTATTATGTTTACTGTGCATATATTAGTTTACAGTGCATTTATTATTTTTACGGTGCATTTATTATGTTTACTGTGGATTTATTATTTCACTGTGCATTTATTATTTTTTACTGCGCATTTATTAATAAATGCACAGTAAAGCATTTATTATTTTACTGTGCATTTATTATTTTTACTGATCAAAAATACATTAAATGCATTCAATTTATTGCGAAAAAAATGATAATAATGGCAATTAACCCCCTCGCTACGCTTACCCGTTCTGTGACTCTGTCAATTTCATGGTAGAGAAAATTGCAGTTGCTGTCGAAATGTTGATCCCTAAATGCCCCTTTCCGGATCACTTTATTCGGGAATTTCCCTTTGACATCCATAAAAAATTTCAACATTTGGTTGTTGGATTTCCCAGAAAACAAAATTCTTCCTGTGTAAAGCTCGTAAATGGTACAAGCGGCGGACCACATGTCAATTCCATAATCGTATGGAATCCCAAGAATGATTTCTGGTGATCTATAAAATCTAGATACTAAATATGGCGTGATTTCGTTATCGTTTATGTAAGATGCTGAACCAAAATCGCATAGTTTGAGCACTAGTTTGCTCTCATTGACTAATATATTGTCTGGTTTGATATCTTAAAAAAAAAAAAAAAAACACAAGTTATATTACAAGTAACAAAGTCAATTTTCGTACCTGCATGTAAAATTCCAGTCTTTTTCAACAGCTTTAAGGCCAACAACAGCTGTTGTGTGTAACTTCTCACAGCTTTAATATGCAAGCCAACGTCTTTTCCATACTTTTTCAGGACTTCGCGTAAATTCATCGCTAATGGTTCAAAAACCATACATAAATGCTGTTTATGGAAAAAGTGCCGAATCAAGCGCAAACAATGAAGTTTGTCTTCAGGATCGGCATCGTTCAATTTTTTCAAAATTTCCAATTCCTTTAATCCGGTTTTATGCCTGAAATAATTTTTCAGTAAAAAGTTTTAAAACACGGATAACATACATAATTTCATTATTTCTGATTATTTTCACTGCAACATCAAGATTTGCTCTGGCTTGGTCTCGAGCTCTAACCACATTACTGAAAACACCTTGACCAGTGTAGCCATACACCATATATCTCGAATCCAAAATTTCCCCAATTCTGACCCTGTAGTAGCCTTCAGCGTCGTCCCAGTTATCAGTTAAGGCTGGATTTTCAGCTCCGGAACCTTTCGTAATGATGGTACTTGGCGACTGAAAAACAGTGATAAAATCACACACAAAACTTTTGATTTAATTTACATTTGTATCTTCTTTAAAAATGTCCTGGTCTGCAAACATGTCCCAATTCGGTTTTTTCGTTTTAGTTTCTTTCTCCTTTTCGTTTATTGGTTTTATCTTCATGTTGGGTAGGAGAGGTGGAGTGTGGGATTCTTCCGGTTCTGGTTCTTCCTTCTTCTCTGGTGTTTTTTCTTCTTGAGCTGGTTTTTCAGTTTCAGTTGTAGTGTCGTTTGTACTCTCTTTCTCCTCCTTCGGCGATGTCGGCAACGAAGTGTTGGTGTTTGAGTCCTCGCTGACGCCACCCAATCGCTGAAAAAAAACAAAAATCATCAATTTAGCATTTTTGGATAAAAACTTCAATTTACTTTTTCTCACAAATTAGTTTTTTTTTTTCAATTACATATTTTTTTAATTGTAAAAACTTTAAAAATAGTTATTTTCGGTACAAGAGCGCTGTCAAATTATTTTTCAGGTCTGAGACCGAATTTTGAGGCACGAAGCGAAGCTGAGTGCTGCAGTGAAGGTCGAAGACCTGAAAAATAAGACAGCGCACGTGTATCGAACAACATTTTTCATGATCGTCAGCGAAATTTTATAAAAAACGTGAATTTATTTATTGAAAATTTTGAGGTTAATTTTGACATGTCAAATCAAGTATATAAATTGAAAAAATTATATATTTAGTTATAATACCACTTTTCATCTTATGTATCTAAGGGAACGATCATGAAAAAATGATTTTTATAACATTTTTAAAACTTTGATGAGTATACAAGGTGAATAAAAAGTATGGAACCAGGCAGTTTTTTTTAATTGTTCGTCTTCAGAAAATGCTATAAAAAAATTGTTTTGTTTTTGAGTCATATGATTTTTTTCTTCAAAATGGAAACTTATATAGGGTGATTTAAAAAAAACTGTGGCCGCTGTAGAATTTTTATTTATGGCCCGATTTCAAAAATTGAAAAACTAAGTTAAATGGTTTTTAATATGGTATAAGCTGACAATTTTAGAATTTTTCTAATTCTCAAGGTATATGTTGGGCTATATTCAATTTTCGAATTTTAAATAGGGACACATTTTTTTTTCATAATTTGGAAGATATTAGTTTTGTTGGTAGAGACATACGGCTATGTTCTACTTTTACTGAAAATTATTGTTTAAAGTAATTAATAAAAGTTTAATAAAATCTAGTTACATGGTGTCAAATCAATGCCATTCCGGACGGAGAATTTTGGACGATTTGTCATTCGATTGACAACTGGCCTTATGTGTAACTATATAGAATTTTTTAAATATTTTTTCTATGTTCTTACTTTACATTTTTCTCGGGGCGCGAGTTCTGGCGCACCTGTATATTTTATTTTATGTTTATATTATATTTATTTTTTTATATTACTTTTATTTATTTATTTGTTTTGTTTTCTTTTTATTAAGATTATTGTTAACGTCAATTTTTTTATTGATAACATGGAACTAGATTTTAATTAATTTTTTTTTCTAACTTCAACTTAAATGTAGACAAAATAAATAAACAAGTAATAAAATATCAAATTAATCATATCAAATTAAATGTTTTTTCTGTAATATTATACAGTCACAATTATAATTCACAATTCAAAATGTCATTTCAAAAATTAATAAATAAATAAATTATTTACATTTTTATAACAAAATTGATTTGATGACAAATTACTTAACTTCATGATGCCAAGTAATTTATTTTTGTAAATTTGTAAATAAGTAATTTTATGCCAAAATGTGACACTGACAATATTTTTTTTTAATTTGACTGTAGATAATTATTATTGTCACTTCTTATTAAAAATTTGAAAAAATATCAGCAAAATTTTCTTTCATTTGCTGTTTTTTGACATTACAATAATGTCATTGTGTTATTCATGCAACTAGATTT